CTTCACTGAATCCCAAAAGTGTGTGTTGTCTCCATAACAGGAATAGATGAGAAGTGAATACTTGTTCTGATGAACTTGCTGACCACCGGGGATTTGTCTTTGGACAAATGTCCTCTCACTTCCTGTTCTGGCTATCAGACAAGAAGTGAAGGTAAATCTCCCCAATCGGAGACATCTGGCAAAAAAAGAAAAAAAAATGTATAACCTTCCCTTACTTTCGGCTTCAGTTATACCTTTTTAAATATACATGTATACAAAGAGGATCATTACTATGCGGCCATAGGTCGTTTAAAGCAGAAGTCCAAGCAAACTTCTAAATACATATAAATGGGCCCCCGGCAAGTGAAACTTGCAGGTCTTATCTCTCCCGCATCCTGTGATTTAACGGTGAGAGGAGAAGCAGCAGACTGATGAGCTCATCTATCTGTCACTGTGATCTCGCCTCCATCAACATGTTCTTCTGTGAGAACATTGGCACTGTACCCACTCTGAGCTCTGGGATTGCAAGAGGCTAATACCAGGTCAAACTGAGGTACTTGCATGACTTGCATTTAAAAAATGACATTTATTGATGTTTTAATGAATACAGAGAAGCAATTATGTGTGACGTTTATATCCGCTTAGAGAACACGTACGTTCAGTGAGCGTCGTTAAATTTTGGTGACTGGGTTCATCATGAAAACTCTCTTTGTGTCTTGGCAGAATGGTATCTGTTCCGGAGCACACGATGGATGAGATTCCCCTCCAGGAGGAGGAGGAGTGCGGCATGGAGTACCGGCTGTTTATGGGCTATGCCCAGCGCTCACTTTCTGCAAGCAAATACTTGGCCCTGCAGCGGGCGATGCCCTCCCAGGGGGGCTACACAACCGCCAGTAACGGAAAGGAGGAAAAAGGCAATGGGGAGCCCATAAAAGAAAAAAACATACACAAAAAGAAGAAATGGCCGAAGGTTCTGACCCCCGCATGCCTCCGACCGCCCAAGAGCAAAGAGGAAGGGAAGCTTTTGAAAGCAGGTAGGTGAAATGCTGTGGTTGCATGAGACCCTCACAAAACAAACACACCTGTGTGATCCAGCTCTGCTGGAAGCAGCCATTAGAGAAGGCCCATGCTAGTTCTGAGGCCGTCAGGGTAAGCCTATTTGCATAGTAATGATATGGCAGCTCCCATCAAAGCCTAATCACACAGGTGGTTCAGTGTAGCAAATCTGCATGTACGTTGACTCCTATTTTTGTGAATGTACAAACCCTTCCCGTGGGGATAACATACTTTTGCTGGAGTATTGCTTTGTGAGAGTTCCTAGTTCTCTTCTGCATGTAACAGGAACAATCCCATAAACCCCCCCCCCCCCCCCCCCCCCCCCCCTGGTACACGGTGGCCCTC